TGAGGGAGTATATCACAGTCACCTCCTGGAACTTAACAATTTGTTAAAAGAACTGACTATTGCCGATACCGAAAATACTGGCCAGTTGACAGAGGAGCAATTCATGTAAGAGCCACTGTATAGCTGCACCTGCAACAGGACAATAAACCAGAACTGGAGCCCTAAAAATATGCATATATTTTAAACTGATATACGGTGATGTTTGGGGTTTTTAATATTTCAAATATTAAATAATTTCAAAAACTATATCCTGGCCACACAGTGATAATCTAGTGCAGATTATCAAAAGATTTAGTATGTTGTTCAAATCCAAGTTTTGTTGCCAAATATCTTATATCTGATATGAAATACAGTTTTCTCCTTGCAAATTAGAAGCAAAATTAGGGCCAAAAAGTAACAGGAGGAAGTAAAATTTCCCAATACCCACCGTATTCACTGTGATTCCAATCCTATCATTTCTCCGAAAATAGGACCCAACTGGAAAATAAGTCCTAGCATGATTTTTCAGGATGCTCGTAATATAAGCCCTACTCCCAAAATAAGCCTCAGTTAAGATTGTCAGCCGGATGGATGCATTTAATACCATATTTCTCCAAAAATAAGACCTAACCAGAAAATAAGCCCTAATGCGTCTTTTGGAGCAAAAATTAATATAAGACCCGGACTTATTTTCGGGGAAACACGGTACCTATATATCTCTATCTCTGTATATATCTCTCAATCTTTATTTATTCTCTATTTCTATCTCTGACTCTATCTCTTTCTCTCTGTCCCTTTCTTTCCATCTCTTTATATCTATTTCTCTATATCTCTCTCTTTCACTCTATCATCCATATCTATCTATCTATCTATCTATCTATCTATCTATCTATCTATCTATCTCTCCCTTTCTATTTCCATCTCTATCTCTTTCACTCTATCATCCCTATCTATTCATCCATCCATCCATCCAATCTGTCTACTTTATCTCTAATATATCTGTCTCTAATTTCTGTCTACTGTATCATCTCGGTCTCTAATCTGTCAGTCTCTATCTATCTATCTGTCTGTCTATCTACCTACCTACCTACCTACCTAATCTGTATCAATATATATATAGGTCTTTGGTTATTTGGGTTTTCTCCCGCATAAAATTGGAAGTGTCTTGGCAACGTTTCGACGAAGTCTCATTCGTCATCTTCAGGCTGGTGTTTTCGGCTTCGTGCTTCTAGGAGCAATGTGTGATTGATATATATATATATTCTTTTCTTTTCTTTTTGTAGGTCTTTATGTGTATTTCTCTTTAGCCAGGTTCTTCCTACCGTAAACCAAGATTTTTCTGCAGCCCTAGTTCATTGAATTGGTGGATTGGGATTTCACTGAACTAGGGCTGCAGAAAAATCTTGGTTTATGTAGGAAGAACCTGGCTAAAGAGAAATACATACATACATACATACATACATACATACATACATACATACATACAATTCTATTCTCTTTTCGTAGGTCTTTATGTGTATTTTTCTCTCAGCCAGGTTTTTCCTACATAAATCAAGATCTTTATACAGCCATCGTTCAGTGAAACTTCATTCACTAGTTTCTAAGCTTCATCAGACATCAAACCAGCATTTTGCTGTCTGTTGTGAGACTTGTATATATGTGTGTGTGTGTGTGTGTGTGTGTGTGTGTGTGTGTGTGTAGGTCTTTGGTTATTCGGGTCTTCTCCCACGTAAAATTGGAAGTGTCTTGGCGACGTTTCGACGAAGTCTCATTCGTCATCTTCAGGCTGGTGTTCTCGGCTTCGTGCTTCCAGGAGCATTGCTGGAAGCACGAAGCCGAGAACACCAGCCTGAAGATGACGAATGAGACTTCGTCGAAACATCGCCAAGACACTTCCAATTTTACGTGGGAGAAGACCCGAATAACCAAAGACCTACATACAAACACCCGCGAAAACCTGAGAAAACAAATATATATATATATATATACATATATATATATATATATATATGTATGTATGTATGTATGTATGTATATATGTATATATGTATATATGTGTATATACACATACACACACACAAAAATCTGTGGCCAAAGGGTAAGGGAAAGCCAGCATCTTCCACAGCTGTTTGTTCAGCTTTGGGGAAAGAAAAGTGTCAAGACATTGAATACCGTTGTCTGTCCCCTTTTTGAACAGGCTAACATAAGGAATATTAGCCCTTTTAAAAAAAAGTTGTGCCTAGATATCCAAAACTAATACAGTATGTTTTCTTTCTCTCGCCAACAGGCTCGCCTTGAAGACAGCTTTCCCACTAAAAACAGACGAACAGATCCTGGAGTTACTTGATGCAGCGGGCTTCAAGCCAAATGTTGGTAGTATTATGTACAAGCTGTTATTCTTAGAGGTAAGTTGGAACACTGGATAAGAAGCAGTTCAGTATTTATGGGGGGGGTGGGGAGACGGACGTGTAAGACGACTAGATTTCTACAACTGGGCCTAACACTGAGAAATATTATTTACATTTCTTAGTGAAAAAAAAAAATCTCACAAGATTTTGGCCCATCTGTATTAGTGGGTGAGCGGAAGAACAATTTCATTAAATAAAATGATATTCCTTCTAGTTATTTCACTGTTCAGTTTTCTCATGTCAGCATGTGGGATTTTGCTCCCGGTGGGAAACCAAAGGGCTTCGCATGACAAGACACATATCCATGTTTTACAAGCCCAGACAATTGTAATTTATTCAGTAAACCACGGTTAAACAAGCCTTAGTTTTCAAAATTATGTAAACCCAGCTAGTGAATCCTCTGCGTTCTTTCAGTGGGGGAAAAAAAACCAAGCTCATTGTAATGTTGAATAATTGCCAACGGTTGAGAGAAGAGAAATGCTCAATAGCAACAATGAACTTACATGCCGCTACAGCACTTAACATTCATTTACAGGACGATGAAGGGAAAACAGAACCCCTAATTACAAAACTTAGGAACCAATATGTGACCGAGAAACAGACCTATCTGAATGATCTACGTGCTGAACTAGGAACTGTGGTGTGAGTATATGAGCGTTGTTGGAAATGAATTCAACCAACAGGCATGGATCGATGAAAACAAAGAGGTTTTATTAAAAGAAAATAATAAAAGCAATTTTGCAAAATAGGGTGGGTTTCCCAGCAGATCTCAACAAAGGAGGTTGAGCCAGGAAACCATACCTGAAGTTTCAAAAGCATTACATTTTATAGTCCCCTATCCCGATGCCCCCCCCCCAAGCAGTGGCGAAATGTAAAATTTGTTATTATCGGTTCTCTGGGAGTGGCTTGGTGGTGGTGGGGGTAATGTGACTGGGTGGGCGTGGCCAACTTTTTTAAAAAAAACTTTTAAAACCATTTTTTGTACAATCGGCCGAAGAGGTTGTAAAAAAATGCTTTTAAAAGCCTCTGAGGATCCCAGCTGAGTTGCCTGATCGTCAAGAGGGTTTATTTTTCTTTTAAAAGCCTCTGACAGTCCCAGCTGAGCCGCACAATCATTGGAGGCTTTTTTTTTTTTTTTTACTTTTAAAAGCATTTTTTTGGCCAAAGAGGTTTAATTTCTTAAATTAAGGGGCGTGGGGGGTGTTGAAATAAACTTGGGAGGAACAAGCTGTGTCAACTATAAATGGGCAACTCCGAAAATAGAATGCTAGATTTAGAATGCAGGTTTGACCATAAGATCATGCAGCTTTTATACTTTTGCTCTCTTCTTCTTCCCAGGGATGTGAGGCCCGATGATCTGAGGGCAGCTTTCTGCATAATTGACCACGGCTTAACTGAGCAGACCTTGGAATCTTACCTCAGTTATGCCTACCAAGTTCCCAAAGAGCAGCTGGACCCTGCCGTCTCCATTCCCATAGAAATCCTGATGCAAAGGCTTATGACGGGAGATATCCACAGGCAAGGGGCGGCGGTGGGACAGCCGCAGCATGCGCCCCCACCTCACACCGCCGAAGAAACAGATCATTCCGGGATCTGACTCAACCCAGTTGTTCTCCCCCGAGATTCATTGAAATAATAAAGATCTGTTGAGGTAGAACTGAGAACAGAACTGCAGCTGGTTAACTGAGTCCCAGGAGCAAAGCTGTGATCCCGGTTGATTTCCTTAGGCTTAGATAAAGCTTAAAAGTGATTACAAAATCCAGTGTATTAAAATGCCTTTTAAAATCCACGCAGAGCATTTAGTTTGGAGCATCCCATTTCTCAGATTGGGTAACTAATTTCCACTCGTGCAGGAAGCGTTTGAGGTGAATTTGGCAGAGCTTCAGGTTTGCTTGCAAAAAGTACCAGTATTTCTTCTCTTGTGCCCATAAATATTCAACCACCGGAACCCATGAAGAAATGATAAAATGACAGTTCAGGCAACTGGATGTTAAAATAATTTAAACCTTATGCAATTTCAGAAGTTTTGTGTTTTACTTAGAACTTTTGAACTATCTGCAGCCCAGCTGTGGGCTAGAAAGTGTAGAAAAGTTTACATTAAACCAGGGCAGCCAAGCAAATGGAGAGGTAGCGAAATGAAATTACAAAGCCAAACAACATAACCATTTTTTTCCTTGGCACTTCGTGTTTTTTTCTAAACTCCAGTTTGCACTGAAACAGGAAGGGAAGCTTACCAAGTCTTGAAAATTGCTGGTTTCCAGATTAGTGATTTAAAAATGCATTGTATATAAACAATGATGTTAAGATGCAATAAACGATTAAATAAACTTCTCCTTATAAGCGTTCTATCTCTGACATCAAAGGACTTTGTGCTAGAGGATTCTTTTTCCAGTATGTTGCAGAGCAACAGACATGAATTTATTAGGGATGGGAAAATTTTCATTTTGTCCATTTTTTTAATCCAATCCATGTGAAAGGAACCTGCTGTTATGAGAATAGTTTATGCTGTTCTTCCAAAGTTGCCATGTAAGTCTCAGCTGGAGAAATGGATATGTTGGATAAATTTATGTACACAAATCTGTTTATCAGGATAGACTATGTCCGGAATACGCGTAATTGAATAGCTGCATGACTGACATGGATCACCTGCAGCTTGATTTATTGAACTCTACTTAAGAACTGCATCTAGCTAAGTTTGGATGTTTATTTATAATCTAAGACATGGAAGAAAAATAGCTAAAATTACAAAAATGTTTTAAGTCAAATATCTTCAGGCTACAAAGAAAGGTTTAGTAAAATTGGCATAAAACCACAGGTTTTTGCTTGCTTGAGAACAAGAATACAGAGAAAACAGTTTTATTCCAAAGTAATATAGAATTATTATTTTTTTTACAAAATATAACTTGCAACTCTGGTACAGACAGAAAAACAAGGCTCCTCCTGTACTGCAGTCACCAAGACACAGTAAGTGCAATTCAGCTTGTTTCTGAGAAGGTGCGGTGCTTAAGTTAAATGCCGTGTAAATGATTTTGTCTAATGGACAAATCTCCATCCGTTCTAGTCCAGAGCCTTAGGAGATCTCCTTCCTCCACTGCTTATTTCCAAACCAGAAATGTTCTGTCTCTGACATCCAAGTGGTTCAGCTTCTTACTTCAACTTCTGAGGGATCACTTTGTTTCCACTTATGGCGATAGGAATTAGCAGCTTCCTGTACTCCAAAGGTAAGTGTCGCTCGACCAGCACATTTAGAGGCGTCTTGTCTGTTATCAGTCCTTGCCTGGATTGTGGAGAAAGGGATCAAAAGAGAACAAGACCAAAAGAAGCACGCCTGTGAATCAGATAGTGCTCGCCTCTTTCCAACAAATCCTACAGCAAGAGCCCATGCCCCTCCAGTTTGGGCTCTGTAAACTGTCCTGAGCTATAGGTAGCCCTCGAATTACGTCCACAATGGAGCCCAAAACTTAGGTTCCTACGTGAGAGATTTGTTAAGTGAGTTTTGCCCCATTTTACAACTTTTCTCATCACACACAGAACAATTAGAACTTGAACCACACGTTTTCTGAATAGTTTTTATCCCAGAGCTATAATTGCACTCAAGAATGAACTAAAGGGCCACCATCAGTGAGCTGTTGGACAGAATTACTTGGTCTGTTGTGTGGATGTTTGGGTGGTTTAGGGGTGGGGAATTGTGGTGGGTGGAAGTGTGTGTGGGGATTGTTATGTGTGTTGGACCTGGTCTTTGGGTGTTAAGTGAATTTCGTTGTATGGGTATAGTGTGTATACACGTACAATGGCAAAGTTATTATTTGTTAACTGAATCACTGCAGTTGTTAAAAGTTAAAGTCACACCGTTGTTAAGTGAATCTGGTTTCGCTTGTCAGGAGGTCGCAAACGGGGATGATCACCTGACCCCGGTGACACTGCAACCATCATAAATGTGAGTCAGTTATCAAGCATCCGAAAATAAACCATGCAATGGGGATGCTGCAATGGTCATAAGTGTGAATGATGGTCACTTTTTTTCAGTGCCATTGTATAACTTCGAACGGTGACTAAATGAACTGCTGTAGGCCAAGGACTACCTGTAATCCAGTATTGTATTCTTCTTTGCTGTAATGACTACAATTCTGCACTCACAGTTCTCTCCGCTATTGTTCAGCTGTTTCTCAAGAAAGCAAAGAGTGGAGAAACATTAAATCTCCCACCCGTGCTGTTAAAACAGCAAGGAAACAGCCGAGGAAGAGCCCTCCTAAGAACAACTATCAGTAGCCTGGTGCTCTCCAAATATATTGTGATCAGGACAGCCAGAATTCCCAAGAGCTGTAGTGGCTAGAAGTTCTCGCCCCCAAACATCTGAAGAGCATTATGGTGGGGAAGCCTTCACGGAGATCTCTTCTTGGGTTGATGCAGGGCTCTCGAGACCTTGCAACCCCACCCCACCCTTACCGCCTCATGAGGAGCTCCAGATCAGCTGCCTCTGCTGTCTTCCGTCGAGCATGATTCGCGTAGGCTTCCAGGTCGTTGCTCAGATGCTTGAAGTAGACATTCACGCTGGAAAAAAAAAATGGAAGCCTAAAGTCAGTTGGGAGAGTTGCAGCATTGCTCCCTTCCCCTTGGAAGGCAGGTTGCAATGCAAAACCCCCTCAAGAAACCTTCAAAGGTCTGATCGCAATTCAATCCCCGTGAGCAGATTTGCTTCTTGGCAAGAAACCCAGGCATGACAACAGAACGAGGCTGCGCCACACGTTTTAGGTTTTCTCTTAGCTCAGCGTAGTTGGCAAACCTCTTTTCTCCACAAGGGATCGTGATGACTCACCACCTATCCACAACTTGCAAGGCCTCTTTGGTTACTGGCATCTTGATGTAGTGGGTGAACATTTTTTTCACCAAGTTGCTGGGGAGGGACGGCTCCCGTTTTTCCCGGCGGGCTTTTTTAGCTGGCTTGGGAACCCGTTGAACCAAATTCTGTTTTACCGGCGACCTCCAAGAAAAATACCAAAAAGACAGTCTAAGCAATTGAGTATATTGCAAGAAGAGGAAACCAAGGAGCTGCCAGGTGTTACAGAAAATCACCTCCCAGGTAGTTCCAGATGGCATGGCCAACAAACTGGGGACTCCACACATCTTAAACACTGTTCTACTGGGTCTGAATGCCAGTCACGGAAGGCTGGAGTTCTTTTTCTCTGGCAGTCAAGAGTGAGCCAAGGCAAAGCATTCCTGGCAACCACACCATCTATTATATTGTAAGCCATTCAGTCACCTCAAACTGCAAGACGGGATTTAAATTTTAAATTTAACGAATAATACAGGTAGTCGAGTTACGACCACAATTGAGCCCCACATTTCTGTTGCTAAGTGAAACATCTGTTAAGTGAGTTTGCCCCATTTTACAACTTTTCTTGCCACAGTTGTTAAGTGAATTCTTGCATTTGTTAATAGCAATAGCACTTAGACTTATATACCGCTTCACGGTGCTTTTACAGCCTTCTCTAAGCGGTTTGCAGAGCCAGCCTCTTCCCCCCCCAACTAGCTTGGGTCCTCATTTTACCCGCCTAGGAAGGATGGAAGGCTGAGTAAACCTTGAGCCTGGTGAGAGTCGAACTGCTAAATTGCAGTCAGCTGGCAGTCAGCAGAATTCGCCTGCAGTACTGCACTCTCACCACTGCGCCTCATAACCCGTGATGGCGCATTTGTTAAATTAGTCACATGGCTGTGAAGTGAATCTGGCTTCCCCATTGATTTTTGCTTGGCAGAAGGTTGCAAAATGGGATCACGTGACTCCGGGACACTGCAACCGTCATAAATATGGACCACTTGCCAAGCGTCTGAATTTTGAGCACATGACCATGGGGCTGCTGCAAAGGCCATAAGTGTGAAAAACGGTCTTAAGTCAGGTTTTTCCAGTGCCGTTGTAACTTTGCACGGTCTCTAAATGAACTGTTGTAAGTGGAGGACTGCCTCTAAATACAGAGTGGTTAGGGGGGGCTAGAGTTCCATCTCCCTACAACTGCATACCTACCCAGAAGCCACCTCTTTCAAAACACGTGGGCTGGACAGCAATGGTGTACAGTGAAAAGCTTTGGCACGGACAAAGGCTGGTGTACTGCCAGTTGGTTCTGAGAGAGAAGGAAAGGTAGAATCTCATATCACTTCCCCAAAGCACATGAAGCTTCAGGGGTAGAGCTTCCATCTCGTTCACAGATAATCCCAAAGCTACTACAGGTAGTCCCAGAGTTACAACCACAATTAAACCCAAAATTTGTTGCTGAGCGAGACATTTGTTAAGTGAATTTTGCTCCATTTTACGAATGTTCTTGCCACAATTATTAAGTGAATTGTTGCATTTGTTAAGTGAGTCACACAGTTGTTAATTTGGCTTCCCCCTTGACTTTGTGCTTGTCAGGAGGTCACAAAAGGGGATCATGGGACCCTGCAACCGTCATAAATAGGAACCAGTTGCCGAGTGTCCAAATTTTTGATCATATGACCATGGGGAGGTTGCAACAGTTGTGAAAAAATAGTCACAAGTCACTTATTTTTAGTGCCATTGTGAACTTCACTAAACAGTCACCAGGCAAACTGTTGTAAGTCAAGGATTATCTGTAAAGGACTGGATTTTTAGCTGGCTTGGGAACCCGTTGAACCAAATTCTGTTTTACCGGCGACCTCCAAGAAAAATACCAAATAGCACTCACATTAAAATCACTTGATTTATTAAACTGAGAAAGAAGCCTTCTGGAGAAACCCAAATGATGTGAGGAATAATTTGGGAAGAAGTCGTGCTATGGGAGAAGAGGATACTTTCTGAAGCCCAACCGTGACCGCCTTAAAAGAATGAAGTGCTCAACATAGGGAACTGATTCAGGATAAGATTAATTTCTAAATTGACTCTGAAATCCCCCAGGGTCAATTTCTTACATTAATCATTTTGAAATGCATCCAATAAGCCACGTTTGCTTCAGCTGTGCTTTAGCATGGGGATCTTCCAATTTATCAGCATCTTGCCATCCAGACTCGATTTTGTGCGACATGGGTGGCTATATACAAATATGATTAAATAAATCAGCTCACCAACATCCTCAGCTTCTGACATCTCCTCGACTTCTGGGTTGTCTTCGGCTTCAAACTCCAGAATCTCTTCAGTTTCCACATTCGTCATTTCTTTTGTTCTGTTTCTATCACCTGTTTGTGGATTTGTTCTCTCTCTCGTTGCCTTAAAGAAGGTCCTCTCCAGCGTCTTGGGAGTCTTTCCACTTGCGCGTCTACTTGGGGTTGCCACTCTAGGACTTTGAGAAATCTCAATAGCTAAAGAGAAAAAACGAAGAAAAAAAGAAAGATCTTCTATCTCCTTCAGAGATATTCCAAAAGTTACTAAAGGACTGAAAGTTATTAGAGTGTTGCTCTCCAGAGTCATTTTTATGCGAGATGGGCGGTTACATAAATATGACTAAGTAAATTAACTCACCAACATCCTCAGATTCTGACATCTCAACTTCTGGGTTGTTTTTGGCTTCAAACTCCAGAATCTGTTCAGTTTCCACATTCCTCATTTGTTTTCTTCTGTTTTTATCACCTGTTTGTGGATTTGTTCGATCTCTCGTTGCCTTAAAGGGGGTCCCCTCCAACGTCTTGGGAGTCTTTCCACTTGCGCGTCTACCTGGAGTTGCCACTCTAGGACTTTGAGAGATTTCAATAGCTAAAGAGAAAAAACGAAGAAAAAAAGAAAGATCTTCTATCTCCTTCACAGATAATCCAAAAGTTACTAAAGGACTGAAAGTTATCAGCGCCTTGCTCTCCAGAGTCACTTTTATGCGAGATGGGCGGTTACATAAATATGACTAAGTAAATTAACTCACCAACATCCTCAGATTCTGACATCTCAACTTCTGGGTTGTTTTTGGCTCCAAACTCCAGAATCTGTTCAGTTTCCACATTCCTCATTTGTTTTCTTCTGTTTTTATCACCTGTTTGTGGATTTGTTCGATCTCTCATTGCCTTAAAGGGGGTACCCTCAAGCGTCTTGGGAGTCTTTCCACTTGCGCGTCTACCTGGAGTTGCCACTCTAGGACTTTGAGAGATCTCAGTAGCTAAAGAGAAAAAAGGAAGAAAAAACAAAGAAAAGAGAAAGATCTTCCATCTCCTTCACAGATAATCCAAAAGTTACTAAAGGACTGAAAGTTATCAGCGCCTTGCTCTCCAGAGTCACTTTTATGCGAGATGGGCGGTTACATAAATATGATTAAGTAAATTAACTCACCAACATCCTCAGATTCTGACATCTCCTCGACTTCTGGGTTGTCTTTGGCTTCAAACTCCAGAATCTCTTCAGTTTCCACATTCCTCATTTGTTTTCTTCTGTTTTTATCACCTGTTTGTGGATTTGTTCTCTCTCTCATTTCTTTAAAGGGGAACCTCTCCAATGTCTTGGGAGTCTTTCCACTTGCACGTCTACCTGGAGTTGCCACTCTAGGACTTTGAGAGATCTCAGTAGCTAAAGAGAAAAAAGGAAGAAAAAACAAAAAAAAGAGAAAGATCTTCCATTTCCTTCACAGATAATCCAAAAGTTACTAAAGGACTGAAAGTTATCAGCGCCTTGCTCTCCAGAGTCACTTTTATGCGAGATGGGCGGTTACATAAATATGATTAAGTAAATTAACTCACCAACATCCTCAGAATCTGACATCTCCTCGACTTCTGGGTTGTCTTTGGCTTCAAACTCCAGAATCTTTTCAGTTTCCACATTCCTCATTTGTTTTCTTCTGTTTTTATCACCTGTTTGTGGATTTGTTCTCTCTCTCATTTCTTTAAAGGGGAACCTCTCCAATGTCTTGGGAGTCTTTCCACTTGCACGTCTACCTGGAGTTGCCACTCTAGGACTTTGAGAGATCTCAGTAGCTAAAGAGAAAAAAGGAAGAAAAAACAAAAAAAAGAGAAAGATCTTCCATTTCCTTCACAGATAATCCAAAAGTTACTAAAGGACTGAAAGTTATCAGCGCCTTGCTCTCCAGAGTCACTTTTATGCGAGATGGGCGGTTACATAAATATGATTAAGTAAATTAACTCACCAACATCCTCAGAATCTGACATCTCCTCGACTTCTGGGTTGTCTTTGGCTTCAAACTCCAGAATCTTTTCAGTTTCCACATTCCTCATTTGTTTTCTTCTGTTTTTATCACCTGTTTGTGGATTTGTTCGATCTCTCATTTCTTTAAAGAGGAACCTCTCCAACGTCTTGGGAGTCTTTCCACTTGCACGTCTACCTGGAGTTGCCACTCTAGGACTTTGAGAGATCTCAATAGCTAAAGAGAAAAAACGAAGAAAAAAAGAAAGATCTTCCATCTCCTTCACAGATAATCCAAAAGTTACTAAAGGACTGAAAGTTATCAGCGCCTTGCTCTCCAGAGTCACTTTTATGTGAGCTAGGCGGTTATATAAATATGATTAAGTAAATAAATTAGCTCACCAACATCCTCTGATTCTGACATCTCCTCAACTTCTGGGTTGTCTTTGGCTTCAAACTCCAGAATCTTTTCAGTTTCCACATTCATTTGTTTTCTTCTGTTTTTATCACCTGTTTGTGGATTTGTTCTCTCTCTCATTTCTTTAAAGAGGAACCTCTCCAACGTCTTGGGAGTCTTTCCACTTGCACGTCTACCTGGAGTTGCCACTCTAGGACTTTGAGAGATCTCAGTAGCTAAAGAGAAAAAAGGAAGAAAAAAAAAAAGATCTTCTATCTCCTTCAAAGATAATCCAAAAGTTACTAAAGGACTGAAAATTATCAGCATCTTGCTCTCCAGAGTCACTTTTATGCGAGCTAGGCGGTTATATAAATATGACTAAGTAAATTAACTCACCAACATCCTCTGATTCTGACATCTCCTCAACTTCTGGGTTGCCTTTGGCTTCAAACTCCAGAATCTCTTCAGTTTCCACATTCCTCATTAGTTTTCTTCTGTTTTTATCACCTGTTTGTGGATTTGTTCTCTCTCTCATTGCCTTAAAGGGGGTACCCTCAAGCGTCTTGGGAGTCTTTCCACTTGCGCGTCTACCTGGAGTTGCCACTCTAGGACTTTGAGAGATCTCAGTAGCTAAAGAGAAAAAAGGAAGAAAAAACAAAGAAAAGAGAAAGATCTTCCATTTCCTTCACAGATAATCCAAAAGTTACTAAAGGACTGAAAGTTATCAGCGCCTTGCTCTCCAGAGTCACTTTTATGCGAGATGGGCGGTTACATAAATATGATTAAGTAAATTAACTCACCAACATCCTCAGAATCTGACATCTCCTCGACTTCTGGGTTGTCTTTGGCTTCAAACTCCAGAATCTTTTCAGTTTCCACATTCCTCATTTGTTTTCTTCTGTTTTTATCACCTGTTTGTGGATTTGTTCGATCTCTCATTTCTTTAAAGAGGAACCTCTCCAACGTCTTGGGAGTCTTTCCACTTGCACGTCTACCTGGAGTTGCCACTCTAGGACTTTGAGAGATCTCAATAGCTAAAGAGAAAAAACGAAGAAAAAAAGAAAGATCTTCCATCTCCTTCACAGATAATCCAAAAGTTACTAAAGGACTGAAAGTTATCAGCGCCTTGCTCTCCAGAGTCACTTTTATGCGAGATGGGCGGTTACATAAATATGATTAAGTAAATTAACTCACCAACATCCTCAGATTCTGACATCTCCTCGACTTCTGGGTTGTCTTTGGCTTCAAACTCCAGAATCTCTTCAGTTTCCACATTCCTCATTTGTTTTCTTCTGTTTTTATCACCTGTTTGTGGATTTGTTCTCTCTCTCATTTCTTTAAAGGGGAACCTCTCCAATGTCTTGGGAGTCTTTCCACTTGCACGTCTACCTGGAGTTGCCACTCTAGGACTTTGAGAGATCTCAGTAGCTAAAGAGAAAAAAGGAAGAAAAAACAAAAAAAAGAGAAAGATCTTCCATTTCCTTCACAGATAATCCAAAAGTTACTAAAGGACTGAAAGTTATCAGCGCCTTGCTCTCCAGAGTCACTTTTATGCGAGATGGGCGGTTACATAAATATGATTAAGTAAATTAACTCACCAACATCCTCAGAATCTGACATCTCCTCGACTTCTGGGTTGTCTTTGGCTTCAAACTCCAGAATCTTTTCAGTTTCCACATTCCTCATTTGTTTTCTTCTGTTTTTATCACCTGTTTGTGGATTTGTTCGATCTCTCATTTCTTTAAAGAGGAACTCTCCAACGTCTTGGGAGTCTTTCCACTTGCACGTCTACCTGGAGTTGCCACTCTAGGACTTTGAGAGATCTCAATAGCTAAAGAGAAAAAACGAAGAAAAAAAAAGATCTTCCATCTCCTTCACAGATAATCCAAAAGTTACTAAAGACTGAAAGTTATCAGCGCCTTGCTCTCCAGAGTCACTTTTATGCGAGCTAGGCGGTTATATAAATATGATTAAGTAAATAAATTAACTCACCAACATCCTCTGATTCTGACATCTCCTCAACTTCTGGGTTGTCTTTGGCTTCAAACTCCAGAATCTGTTCAGTTTCCACATTCCTCATTAGTTTTCTTCTGTTTTTATCACCTGTTTGTGGATTTGTTCGATCTCTCGTTGCCTTAAAGGGGGTCCCCTCAAGCGTCTTGGGAGTCTTTCCACTTGCGCGTCTACCTGGAGTTGCCTCTCTAGGACTTTGGGTGATATCAAAAGCTAGAGGAAAAAAGAGAAAGGTCACACATTTCATCAACAGTTTCTTTTAAAAACACAGGCTGCTGGCGTGTGTTACTGTGTCTATTACTGCTTTGAGATCCTTCCCAAACATTCCACATTTCCTCTTTATTCATATGTAAAGGCTCATCTCGAAGTACCATCTGGTAGAACAGAGCCAGGAGCTATTGCCTCTTTAGCTTTTGTGCGCAACTCACCCGTTTGGGGACTGGAGGCTAAGAAGCAATGGATGGAAACTAATCAGGGAGAGGCAACTTAGAACTAAGGAGAAATTTCCTGACAGAACAATTAATAAGTGGAACAACTTGCCTCCAGAAGTGGTGAATGCTCCAACACTGGAGATTTTTAAGGAGAGACTGGATAACCATTTGTCTGAAACGGTATAGGGTTTCCTGCCTGAGCAGGGGGTTGGACTAGAAGACCTCCAAGGTCCCTTCCTACTCTGATATTCTGTTCTTGAGATATTGCCAGATGCTGATCATTTCTCCTGAGTTCTCTATCACATTAAATTATGGCTTCATTACAACGTCAACAAAACTATACCTGTCTGGCTTCATATCGTAATAACTCACAAGCTAGGAGTTGGGCAGATTTTAGTATTCTGGGGAAGATAATGAAAAGCATACAGAGAGTTGATTTCCTAGGCTTTTGAAGGTGTTGGATCTATGTTTATTTTAAGGCTTAGATGAACATTTTGGGGTATTTCGAAACAAAGCCAATTTTCAGCAGCTTTACTTAGAATTGCTCTGGAAATCACACCAAAAAAAGGGTGGGGTGGAGGGGAGAGAAAATACTGGATTCACAAAATACATTAAACCAAAACCAAATGATTATATAACTTAGTTCAAGGCCTGGAGTAAGATCTCTAAACTCAGTATTACCTAAAGACACTGAGAGTCATTAATTTGTGACTGAAACTGCGTTTTATACACGATAAGATTAAGTGGAGGGACCTAATTAATTATACGGAGGCAGGACATGTTTCAAGGCAATTATTCCAGAACGAGGGCCAGAATGGTACAGGACAGCATACCTCCATTCAGAGCAGTTTTTTCACATAATTTTTGCAAAGGCTTCCACACAACTATTGGCTAACTATCAGCCACGTACACTTACTTATTTCCCGAAGAGAAGATCCTTCCTCTGAGTCCACCTCGGCCATACTCGGTCCTGCAAATGATGGGACAATGCTATCCAGCTCCTTGGTGATGTGTGCCGCCATCTCATTCACTGAACGCCTGACAATCTTTCTACTCAGCCAAGTTGAGAAATTTCTTTGAGATGCTCCGGGGAGTTGAGCATCTACTTGTGTGGATGACCTTCTTGCACCCAGGCCTAGATTGGCAAAATTAAGAAACAGTCACAAATATTCAGATACAAATGTAAATAATAATAATAATAATAATAATAATAATAATAATAATAATAATAATACTGAAAGGTATTTTTGAAGGTTACGCTAGTGCCTAAGTTTATTCTGGATGTATTCAAGGAACCATAGCATTTTAACAATTTTTGGAGAAGCAAGAGAAGCTTCCAAGTCCCAATGGTGCTTTATTCAAAAGGCAGCTGGACTTTGTTTTTCCTTGAAGACGTTTCGCTTCTCACCCCAGAAGCTTCCTCAGTTCTGACTGAGAACCGAAAAAGCGTCTTGAAGGAGAAGCGAAACGTCTTCAAGGAAAAACAAAGTCCAGCCGCCTTTTGAATAAAGCACCTTTGGGACAATCACGACCTGGATGACGGAGAATCTCCATTGACGGAAGCTTCTAATCTAAGCCGTCTCCCAATGTGTTGAGAAAAATAATTGCCAAACATAGATCAGAGTTCCCCAACCCTTCTGGTTTTGCTGATGGGTGGCGGGGGCAGGGGCAGGAGGAGTGGGGATGGTTCTATGCGAGCAGAAGTGAGTGCGCACGCTCGCAACTCCATTTGCACACTCATGCAAATGGATCATGTGTGCTTGCCCACTGCTCATGCAAGTGGGGATGCCACGTGCCACCTGCGTGCTCACCCGCCACTTCTACGCCCCAGTTCCGAATGGCTCACAGTCCAGTAGTGGGCCGCAGCCTGGGGGTTGGGATATATGATATATGAAGGGGTTTTTTTTGTTCCTCAAGCCCCAATAACAAACATACCAGTCTTCAAAGGCTCTGTGGGAGTGAAGAGTTCCTCGTCAGGACTGTTTCCCTGAAAATGCTTTCGCTGTTGCTTTTGAGGCGTGTCTATTCTTTTCTGGGAAATGCTTTCTATGCTACTGGCATCTTCGGGGCCTGGACTTAACTTCTCCTTTCCCAGGCTTGGTCTCAATCCTTTTCCTGCATCCTGTGGCTTCTCTTGGCACTTTTCTTGGTAACTCTCATCCTTTTCCGTGGATTCAGTTTCTGGTTCAATGATAATTTCCCTTCCCGATGTCAAGGTTTTGGGGGGGCTGCTTTCAGCCACTTTTTCAACTTCCATGTCAGATATTTCGTCCTGTCTGGCTAACCGTGTTTGGCTAAGAGATGGGGCACTCCTACGACCGAAAGGTTTCCTTGCCAAATCCGGTCCTGGTAGGACATTAGACGGCTCCGTCTCATTCTCCTCACTGGAATGAGGGGGGAGAAAGAGTTCTGTCTCTACTGAAAGAGCCTCTGTGTTGTTTGATTGGAGTGTTGTAGTTTTCTGGTCTTCAGGGTTGTTTTCTGCTGCTGGCAACAATTTAAACAAAGGTTATCCCTTCAGATGGAAATGTAACTTTGGGTTCTGACTCAGCTCCCCAAACACGGCAAACCCTCTGTAGTTGAAGCAATGATTCCTTTATTAGGAGCGACAGCAGCCCCCGGCAAAAAATTTCTCTCGCCACAGGCTAACAAGTCTGTCCGGCAGGGAGATGAATAGTTGTCTGCCACATCTATTCATCTTCACCCCCTGTCTTTTATCCCCAGAGCTAGGGAGGAGCTTCGCTAGCAGTGGTGACTCTTACATCCCAAGGATCAGCCCATAGATTTCCATTGCTCTCCTTTCCTCTGCCTTCTGTGCATCTACAGGTCAGGCACTGGACCCAGCTGTTCCTCCTCTTCCTCATCAGCCACCTCCAGACCTGGGGGCTGTTGACTCTCCATCTGAGGGCTGATGGACGGCCCAGGCTCTGCCCCGTCTCTCTCTCTCTCTGCCAGCTCCATTCCCTCTTCCCCCTCAGAGCTCTCAGGTTGCCTTGATGCTGATCCTGACTCCCACGCCTCCTCCTCTGATTCGGCTGCTGGAGGGCACGGCGGCCGACAGGCCACAACACTTCAATTTCATTTTCGCTTCTCGACACCACCCTGTGTTCAGTTGATTCTGTCTCCAGAACAAATCATAACCCTTTCTGACCCCTCCGTTCTCAGGTTGCTCTAACAAACACACCAGGATAAAAATACCCCCAAATCGGACTCACAGTCTTTGATCTGCAACAAGTCTTGTTCAAGGCCCCCTTCAAAATCCTTCACATTAACTCCTCGGTAGTTTTTGGGCCTACGGATCAAACCTTTTCTCCCAGCGGAGTTCAATGGTGCTGGGGTTGTAAAAGAGATCTGAAGAGAACTGAGAACAGAACAGCATATAGCAATAGCAGTTAGACTTATATACTGCTTCATAGTGCTTTACAGCTCTTTCTAAGCGTATTGTCCCCAACAATCTGGGTCCTCATTTTACTGACCTCAGAAGGATGGAAGGCTTAGTCAACCTTGAGTTGGTCAGAATTGAACTGCTAGCAATCGGCAGAATTAGCCTGCAATACTGCATTCTAACCATTCCACCACCATGGCTCAGATCAGATCTAGACGATCTAGCAGTGGCTGGATTTTCCTGGATCTTCAGGAGCAGAACTTCTCAAGGTAACCCTTTTGCATTTACCCAGGATGAAACCATTTCCTGCATCGTTCCCAGAATGCAGTCCACCCGGGAACTGCATTTGGTCCTCATTCTCCAGGCCTTTGAAAAATCAGCTGAGTGGCATCTCTTTAGGTGGGCTTTTAAATACGGATTTGAATACAGGTAGTCCTCGACTTACAACAGTTCATTTAGTGAACTGTTCAAAGTTACGACGATATCAAAAAATGTGACTAATGACCATGTTTCACACTTATGACCTTTAGAGCATCCCCATGATCATGTGATCAAAATTCAGACACTTGGCAACTGGTTCATATTTCTGACCGTTGCTGTGTCCCAAGGTCATGTTTATCCCCTTTTGCGACCTTCTGACAAGCAAAATTACTAGCTGATTGTTTCCTGATTGCTTATTTGTATCCTATGACTATCATTGAGTGTTGTGCCTTATGATTCTTGATGAACGTAACCTTTCTTTTATGTACACTGAGAGCGTATGCACCAAAGACAAATTCTTTGTGTGTCCAATCACACTTGGCCAATAAAAAAATCTATTCTATTCTATTCTATTCTATTCTATTCTATTCTATTCTATTCTATTCTATTCTATTCTATTCTATTCTTCTCTTCACTTCTACTCTATTCTTCTATTCTATTTTTTCTTTTCTTTTCTATTCTATTCTTCTCTTCACTTCTACTCTATTCTTCTATTCTTTCTTTTCTTTTCTATTCTATTCTATTCTTCTCTTCGCTTCTATTTTTCTCTTCTCTTCTATTTTTCTTTTCTATTCTGCTCTTCTCTTCTATTTTTCTATTCTATTCTAATTTATCAACTGCAGTGATTCACTTAACAACTGTGGCAAGGAAGGTCATAAAATGGGGCAAAACTCACTTAGCAAACGTTTCACTTAACAATAGCAATGTTGGGCTCCATTGTGGGTCGTAAGTCGAGGACTACCTGTACTTGCCAGCTTAATGCTATTACAAATACTTCTTCGAGTATTTTTTTTAATTGAGAACAGGACAGCAGTAAAAGTTTAACTGAGCAGGATGGCAACATATAAATGGAATCCATCCATGAAATATAATGATAAATGTCAGTAATATTCAATACGTAACCAACAACTGGAACAAAATTACCTGTGCCTACAGCTGCTCTGCAGCATATAAAAAGCCTAATGTTGCACAGTGGCCCAGCTACTCCTACCATGCCATAGTATAAGAATATACTAAATTTAAGCCTTGTTTAAGGCTGTGGTCGTCCTGGCTTTGGACTATGTCCTCTGTTGTGAGGGGACAGGGGACTTGGTCCTGCAAATATGTCTCTGAGATCCCCCATTCTTTTATCTTCTCCTCGGTCCTTTATATACACCCTCAGGATATGGTCGTGTTACCCATTATGATTAATGTACTCAGCAGCGGAGCTTCTTGGTCTGCGAGACTCCCCCCTCTCGCAGGCTTGGCCCTCCATTCTATCGAGGGCCTACCTCGATGACGGGCTCTGGAGTCCCGAGAGGTGGCATGCCGCAAAGAGGGGGCTGCGGGGTTTTTTAAAATTGTCCTTGTTTAAACTTTTAAGGGGTTCTGGGAGGGGGGAGGGGGGTGGGATTGGAATTAGGATTGTGGGTTTGGGGGATAACCCACTAGGGGGAGAGTCGGGCTTGGCCAGGACGTTCGGCGGGGGTGGTGGGGGATCCGGAGGGGGTCGAGCTGGTCCAGACTATGCTTTCACCATCGGTACTGTGTGTGGGAGGGGTAGATATGGCGGGAGCAGGGGGCCATATCATGTTAAGGGAGCACGCACCCGCTGTCTTCAAGCGGTAGAGTGCTCCGGCCCCCAAGGCTCCACCCGTTCTCCAGGTAGTACAGACCTTCAGGGCCCGGGCCTTCGTCTGATGTTGTGCAACGCCAGGTCTGTAGTAAATAAAGCCCCCCTCATCTGTGATCTTGTTTACGAGGGGGGAGCGGACCTGGCGGGTATTACGGAGACCTGGTTGGGCCCAGAGGGAGGGGTCCCTCTGGTAGAAATGTGCCCACCAGGTTTCCACGCATTCCATCAGCCAAGGTCACAGGGGAGGGGTGGGGGAGTAGCGGTTATTATTAGAGAAGGCCTTAGGCCGAGGGAGACCACTGTTCCTCAGACGGCCGGTTGTGAGTCCCTCCTTGTGAAATGGGGCCACGGGGTTCAGATGGGTTTGCTGATCACGTACCTGGCTCCCTGCCACGTGGCGGCAGCCCTGCCCGAGCTACTCAACGTTATTGCCGCGGTGGCGGTTGATACCCCCAGACTTATGGTCATGGGGGATTTCAACCTGCCATCCGTGGGTGAGGCGTCTGAGGTGGCTCGGGAGTTCATGGCTTCCATGACGGCCATGGACCTGACCCAACTAATTCATGGCCCTACGCACACTGGGGGAAACACACTGGACTTGGTTTTTGTCTCTGGACAGTGGTTGAGTGATCTCGAGATAGGGGATATAGTCATCGAGCCCTTGTCATGGTCAGATCACTCGCTCCTTCGCCTTGACCTTCGAACCGCAGCACCCCACCGCAGGGAGGCGGAACCGGTAAGATGGTACCGCCCCAGGCACCTGATGGAACCTGATAGGTTCCAGATGGAACTTGGGCCAATCCCGGAGGTTCTGGCTCACGCCTCATCTGGGGACCTAGTGGCCGCCTGGGATAGGGAGGCTGCTGGAGCCCTGGATCGAGTCGTGCCTTTGCGGCCTCTGACCCGGCGCCGATCTCGCCTGGCTCCTTGGTTCACCGAGGAGCTGAGGGAGATGAAGCGCCGGAAAAGACGCCTAGAGAGCTGTTGGAGGGCTAGTCTTTCTGAATCTGACCGAACACTGGTAAGATCTTATATTAGGAGTTACCTAGTGGCGATAAAAGCAGCAAAATGTACTCATTTTACTGCTCTTATTGCGTCATCAGATAATCGCCCGGCCACCCTGTTTAGGGTGACCCGCTCCCTGCTCCACCAGGAAGCGCGGGAGGACCCATTGGAGGGGAGAGCCGAGGATTTTGTTCAATATCTGTATGACAAAATCACTCAGATTCGGGCAGGTCTGGACTCTGACGGGATAGATCCAGCGAGGGTGACGGAGACAGGTCTTGAGACTGTTATCTGGGATGAGTTTGATCCTGTGACCCCAGATGACGTGGACAGGATTCTGGGTAGATTGAACGCGACCACATGTTTGTTGGACCCGTGTCCCTCCTGGTTAGTGCTGGCTTCCCGGGAGGTGACGCGAGGCTGGCTCCAGGGGATTATAAATGCTTCGTTGGGTGAGGGTGTCTTTCCCGCCGCCTTGAAAGAGGCGGTGGTGAGGCCTCTCCTCAAGAAGCCTTCCCTGGACCCGGCAGTATTGGCTAATTATCGTCCAGTCTCCAACCTTTGCTTCGTTGCGAAGGTTGTTGAGAGTGTGGTTGCGCGACAGCTACCCCAGTACCTGGATGAAGCGTCGTATCTAGATCCGTTCCAGTCGGGCTTCAGGCCTGGGTACAGCACGGAAACGGCATTGGTCGCGTTGGTTGATGATCTCTGGAGGGCTCGGGACAGGGGTTGTTCCTCTGTCCTGGTCCTGTTAGACCTCTCAGCGGCTTTTGATACCATCGACCATGGTATCATGCTGCACCGGCTGGAAGGGTTGGGGGTGGGAGGCACCGTTTTACGGTGGTTCTCCTCCTTTCTCTCTGACCGGTCGCAGTCTGTGTTGACAGGGGGGCAGAGATCGACCCCGAGGCCCCTTATATGTGGGGTGCCGCAGGGATCGGTTCTCTCGCCCCTTCTGTTCAACATTTATGTAAAGCCGCTGGGCGAGATCATCCGTGGTTTCGGGGTGAAGTACCATCTGTACGCTGATGACACCCAGCTGTACATCTCCACCCCGGACCACCCCAACGATGCCCTTGAAGTGATGTCCCAGTGCCTGGAGGCCGTGCGGATCTGGATGGGGAGAAACGGGCTCAGGCTCAACCCATCCAAGACCGAGTGGCTGTGGTTTCCGACGTCCCGATATAGTCAGCTGGCACCATCGCTGGCTATTGGGGGCGAATCATTGGCCCCCACGGAAAGGGCTCGTAACTTGGGCGTCCTCCTGGACTCACGGCTGTCTTTAGAAGAGCACTTGACGGCCGTGACCGGGAGGATTTTTCATCAGGTTCGCCTGATTCGCCAGTTGCGTCCCTTTCTAGATCGGGACTCGTTACGCACAGTCACTCATGCCCTCGTCACCTCTCGTCTGGACTATTGTAATGCTCTCTACATGGGGCTCCCCTTGAGGTGCACCCGGAGGCTCCAACTGGCGCAGAGTGCGGCCGCGCGGGTGGTTATGGGAGCAACATGGAGCTCCCATGTAACACCTCTCCTGCGCGAGCTGCACTGGCTCCCGGTGGTCTTCCGGGTGCGCTTCAAGGTTCTGGTTACCACCTTTAAAGCGCTCCATGGCTTGGGACCTGGTTACTTACGGGACCGCCTACTACCATCAACAGCCTCCCACCGACCAGTACGCTCCCACAGAGAGGGGCTCCTCCAGGTGCCGTCGGCCAAACAATGTCGGCTGTCGGCCCCTAGGGGGAGAGCCTTCTCTGTGGGGGCACCGACGATCTGGAATGAGCTCCCCCCAGAGATACGGAGGATTCCGGATCTGCGCACCTTCCGCCGCGAGTTGAAGACGCTTTTGTTTCATCAAGCTGGCCTCGCCTAAATCTCCTCCCTTCTAAAGTGTAAATTCTAAATTTTTAATGGATTTTAAAATATGGGTATTTTAAATTGGGTATTAATTCAGCCAAATTTATTTAATTCATTTTATTCGATTTTAAATTTTGTATATCTATGTGTTTTATTTCATGGCTGTGCACCGCCCTGAGTCCTTCGGGAGTAGGGCGGTATAGAAATTCAATAAATAAATAAATAAATAAATAAATAAATAAATAAATAAATAAATAAATAAAAATAAATAAATAGGGAAAGTGGAAACGTGGTATGTGGGTTTAAGGCTCTCCACTCTTTGTACGGACTGTGGCACCATCACATGAAAACAAGTATTTTCCCAATTTCTGCCATCCTGACATGTCATCCCTATCTGCTAAGCATCTAGGCAAAGGAAGAAACAATAGCTTGAGCACAACCACAAAACAAAACAGAATTGTAACCTACTTTGTCAAAGATGTATGGTCCAGCAAGCCTTGAGCTGCAAAGAGAGATTAAGATATATTAGATGAGCTGCTTATATGTGGAAGTCTTACTACTTAAATACTAATTAATAAGCAGAGCTAGGCATTAGAAGTTACTGGTATTGCTGCCCAAAGCAGAATAAATAATTTATTCTATTTATTGCCATGCCTTGGATTTGTATTAAAGTCCACCAGGAGTCTGGTGGCATAGCAGATTAAAGCACTGTCATTAACTGTTATTAACATCAAGCTGTCTGCAATTACTGTAAGTTCAAATCTCACCAGGCTCAAGGTTGACTCAGCCTTCCATCCTTTCTAAGGTAGGTGAAATGAGGATCCAGTTTGTGGGGGCAATAAGCTGACTTTGTATAAATATACAAAAGTATGAAGGCTATTGCTTAACGCATTGTAAGCCGCCCTGAGTCTCCGGAGAAGGGCGGCATATAAATCAAATTTAAAAAATAAAATAAAAAATAAAATAAAATAAAAATAAAAATAATTGTTTTAATTCACTTCACTGTTCTGCTTTAGGGCACCTGCGAATAGCTTGGATCTGCTTTAATCTGACTAATGTCAGTGTAGCGTTGTCACTTGACAGGTCTTCAGCATTATAGAGAAATTAAACATGGGAATCAGCAGTAATACCGATTCCCAGGATAATGTACCGTAATAAATATGTTCACTGCTTAGCCTATTTCACAGGCCGGGCATGTCCTGTTCCACAGAATGCATTAGCTGGCCATAATAGAGACCAGTGATAGCTAACCTTTTCCGGACTGAGTGCCCAAAGCATGCGTGCTCCCAAAACCCCAAAATGCAATCCCCGCCCCCCCATGCATGCGCGGCAGAGACCCGAAGACCAGCTGGCCAGTGGGAGGTGCGCGCGCTTGCGCAGCAGAGCTGAACTAGGTCGACGGCTCATGTGCCCAGAGACATTATTATCTCTTATTTCTTCTGACCATTATCTGATCTCCATAGAGAAGAGTGCTGTGATCCAGGCTAACAAATCCTTAGGTAATTTTCTTAACACTTTAATGTGACTCGTAGGATGTCAAAACATACAGTCAACTATTTCCTTTATTTCTTGGAGCAAAATGATAAAAAAAAAAAAAGCATTCAAAATTTGGTCAGAGTAGCCTACAAAGGCCACATTTACCTGTGCTGAAGTGAAGCTGGTTATTCAGATCTCTTTCAAATTCAGAGACACGGACCTTTTTCGATCTCGTTGGATGCCGTGCAAGCCTAGACTTCTGTCTCTGAGTGGAGTCTGACAGGCTGACTTCTAGATTGCTAAAGGTCAACAAGACAGGTCTTCAGAGCTACTGGTAGCAGAATACTGTTCTCAAAGGGCAAGCCTTCATAATGCTTAAACCAAAACCTAAACAATTTTAGGTAGACTAAAAGTAAAGGACCATGCACTTATGTGCTAGATGTTCCCGGCTCTAGGGGGCGGTGCTCATCTCCGTTTCAAAGCTGAAGAGCCAGCGTTGTCCGAAGACATCTCTGTGGTCATGTGGCCGGCATGACTCAACGCCAAATGTGCACTGAACGCTGTTACCTTCCCATCAAAGGTGGTCCCTATTTTTCTACTTGCATTTTTTACTTCCTTTCAAACTGGTAGGTTGGCAGAAGCTGGGACAAGGAACGGGAGCTCACCCCGTTACGTGGCACTAGGGATTCGAACCACTGAACTGCTAACTTTTGATCGACAAGCTCAGCGTCTTAGCCACTGAGCCACCGTGTCCCTGTCAAAGTGTATATACTGTACATCAATATGGTCATTCCATTTTTAATCAATGCTGAACATAATGGACATACCTACAGCAATATTCCCCTTTGTTAGGAAGTAGGGGAAATAGATTATTCAGCAAGGGCCAAAATGAGCAGTTATTATTCAGGAGCGGCACATAACTGCCAATAAGTAAGTCCACATACTGCATAAAGGTGTGATTTGATTTTAATTTAGCAGCTTGTATGTACATGTTCATACAAGTTGAACTGCATCTTAATGCAGCATCCAGCAATCTTTTCATTCAATGGATGCCAACTACATGGAAAAAAAGGTAATGAGATTTTAGCAATATATGTTCTCAGAACTCACAAATGTAGATCATTAAAAGTAGCACAATATTTGTATTAACAATTTAATCAATAAAATTTACTTATTAATTTAATGTTAATAACACAATTGATAGATTATTAATACATTATTAATTCCTTGCTTGAATGCATTTCAGTATCATCCATTTCTTGGCTGATCCCAAGAGAAACAGAAATAATTTTATTTAAGGCTTGGTTTGGAGTTCCAACATTTCTGCTCTTAAGGTCCATGCCCTTCCAGAGCAATGAAGATTTCATAGTTTTCGCCTTTTGAGTGCTGCAACTTTACATTATGATCCTAAGTGTGTTACTCACAACTGTCAAAATAGCTGAAGATTTATAGCCTTTATTTTAGCAACTGCAAAACACAAAGGAAGCACTTACATGGAAGAACCAAGCTTCACAGGAAAATTGAAAATTGTATCGATTGGTTTTGGAGACTCAGGTTTCTCAGAAACAAGAGGGGAAACAATTGGTTCTGTCAAAAAAACAAACAATGAACATTATTTCAAATAATTCAAAGCTAATTCAAAAGTGCTTCAAAACCATAGCTACGGTATGTCATTGAAGTTATGATGTCAATGACTACTGCAACGCTCTCTACATGGGGCTCCCCCTGGGGTGCACCCGGAGGCTCCAGCTGGTCCAGAACGCGGCCGCGCGGGGGATTATGGGGGCGAAGAGGCGCTCCCATGTGACATCTCTCCTGCACGAGCTGCACTGGCTCCCGGTGGTCTTCCGGGTGCGCTTCAAGGTGTTGGTGACCACCTTTAAAGCGCTCCATGGCTTAGGGCCGGGGTACTTACGAGACCGCCTTCTGCCACCAATAGCCTCCCACTGGCCAGTACGCTTGCACAGAGTGGACCTCCTCAGGGTGCCGTCCGCCAGACAATGTCAGCTGGCGACCCCCAGGGGGAGAGCCTTCTCTGTGGCGGCGCCCACCCTCTGGAACAACCTCCCCCCAGAGATACGTACAATAACAGACCTCCGGATTTTTCGTCGGGCCCTGAAAACCTATTTATTTCAACTAGCTGGGCTGGCTTGAGTTTAATTTTAAATTGATTTTAAATTGGGTTGTTTTAATTTACGACCAAAATATTTAATTATTTTAATACTGTTTTTAAATTTTGTATGTTCTGTTTTTTACTTTGGCTGTTCACCGCCCTGACTCCTGTTTGGAGAAGGGCGGTATAGAAATGGAAACAAACAAACAAACAAATAAATAAATAAATAAATGAAGTTTTCTACACATAAACACTACCGTACATTTTTTCACCTTCTAAAGAACATTTCAATTTTAAATCTTCAAGTTGCAAACTGTTCTATTTACTATTTTATATTGGTTTCAGAAATGCACTGATCTTACAGTGATGGATGGATAGTATCCTAGACTGTCTATGCAGATTCTCAGTCATCCAGGTCATGATTATCCCAAAAGTGCTTTTTCAAAAGGCAACTGGACTTTCTTTGTTTTTCCTTGAAGACGTTTCTCTTCTCATCCAACAAATGGAGTCAGAACTGAAAAAGTTTCTCGGATGAGAAGCAAAATGCCTTCAAGGAAAAACAAAGGAAGTCCAGTGGCCTTTTGAAAAAGCACCTTTGGAACACAGTATCCTAGACGGTTCCCCTCATTTGGTACAGCACAAAGATACAACTGACCCTGGATGAGGAAGAGTGTACTAGCCATCCTTCTGGATGTGGAACATATTGTAGCTAATAAATTCTGTGCAAATCAAGATGGTGAACACTCAAAATGCAGATTGCCCTTTCACATTTTTAAACTGTTACTGAAGTATTTTGTTTTTTGCTATATGTTTGCTGTTATGTTTCTGGGTCTTTGTTGTTTTTGTGAGTAGCCTGTAATTAGTTTTATCTGTGATTCTGTACTTCTCCAATGCACCATGACCTGAAACGTTGCTCTCCCCCAACCATACTTACGTGTCTGTAGGACCTTCTTAAAAACAGTTCGAGGTGTTGCAAAATCTATCTGTGCAGAGTTGGTAGGTGCCTGATAAGCCAAGGATCTTTGATAATTAAAGGGTGCAGCCTGAAATAAAAACAGCCCAAAGAAGGCAACTGCAATTGTAAAAGATAAGTAGCAACTGTGCACTCTAGTAATTGAATACCAGAATTTGTAAATACAATTAAGCAAGGACATCACCTCCTATTATGCTTATTACATAAAAATTAGGCTGAATAAGACTATATTTTGTGGAGATTGGTATTTTCATGTAATATAAAGCCATGTAATACATCTTATAGTTATATGTTTCTTTTTTGTGACCCTACTTGCTAAAATAATGGCTGCACAATATTATTTTAGCCTAATCTAGTACATTATGAAAATCATTTTTCCTAAAGGAAAGCTATGGAGTTCTCTCTTAAACAACTATGCCTAGGGCTGTTGTTCCTTGACAACGTCTTTCAAGAAAGTACAAGGGAGAAATCACTGGAGAGTAAGGTGGGGAAAACACTTTTCTGTCTTCACTCTGGAAACATCCAAGGAAACTTGTTGTCCGTAAATAGGCAAATCTCAGGTTTTCAATCTTGCTCAGATGGATGGGGAGGTTTATTCCCGCATTTCAGTTGGAGAAGGCTCACCACCATAATTGCAGTGATCTTTAATATAAAGGATAGTCCTGTATTTCAAAAAGGCTCAAGGTTGACTCAGCCTTCCATCCTTTCTAAGGTAGGTGAAATGAGGACCCAGTTTGTGGGGGCAATAAGCTGACTTTGTATAAAATATACAAAAGTATGAAGGCTATTGCTTAATGCATTGTAAGCCGCCCTGAGTCTCCGGAGAAGGGCGGCATATAAATCAAATTAAAAAAAAAAAAAAAGCTGTCATTACATTTTTTTTCCCCTTGCTTTTGCTTTGGGATGTTCCTTTGTAAAGCAAAATCGTAAGCATAAATAATTAGGGTTTTTTTCCCCCAGTCCTTAGATCAGCTTTTTTTTTTTCAGATTTGCCCCTTTTTCAGGCTGGACTTTCATTTTTTCCAAGAAAAGATTATCACATCAGATATAATCTTATATCTGATTATGCAATTATATATTATGATTATGCAAATATAATCAGACCAATTCTCGAATACAGCTCATCTGCCTGGAATCCACACTGTATATCGGACATTAATACAATTGAGCGAGTCCATAAGTATTTCACAAGAAGAGTCCTCTGCTTACAACAGAATCCCTTATGCCACCAGGTTTTAAAATTTTGGACCTGGACAACCTAGGTCAACCTTCAGTCTGACTAAGATTAGTACACAAAATTGTCTGCTACAACGTCCTACCTGCCAATGACTACTTCAGCTTCAACCGCAATAATACACGAGCACACAATAGATACAAACACAAGGTAAACCGCTCCGAACTCGATTGCAGAAAATATGACTTCAGCAACAGAGTGGTCAACGCCTGGAATGCACTACCTGACTCTGTGGTTACTTCCCTAAAACCCCATAATTTAACCTTGACTGTCTACCATGGACTTTAACCATTCCGATGAGGTCTGTCAGGGGCGGGATAAGCGCGCCAATTCCTAGCAGCAGTCCCGTCCGTCACTATCATGGTATGCGGTGCATGTTATAATCGTTTCCATTTTACTGTTTATAGTGTATGTTTATATGTTATTGGTATTGTTTGTATTAGTTTATTTATTTGTTTTTCTCATACATGTTTGGTTTAAATAAGTAAATAAATAAGTGTAAAAAGAAAATGATTAAGCGAGAACTGCATAATGAAAATTAATTACTTTATATTTACTTCTAGAGTTCCTTCAGTCTCTATCATCTCTGATTACGTCATAATTACACAGTAAGAAATTAGTATCAATACCTACCTACTCTACTAAATCTACCTAAGAAACTACCTATCTATCAAATCTACCTACCTACCTAATCATCTATCAATAACCCTCCTTCCTTCCTTCCTTCCCTCCCTCTCTTCCTTTTTCCCTTTTTCCTTCCTCCCTCTCTTTTCCTTTTTCCTTCACCTCCTTCCCTTCCTTCCTCCTTCTTTCCCTCTCCTCCCTTCCTTCCTTCATTCCTTCCTTCCCTCCCTCCCTCCCTCCTTCCTTCCTTCCTCCTTCCCTCCCTCTCCTTCCTTCCTTCCCTCCTTCCGTCCTTCCTTCTTCCCTCCTTCCTTCCTTCCTTCCTTCCTTCCTTCCTTCCTTCCTTCCTTCCTTCCCTCCTTCCCTCCTTCCTTCCTTCCTTCCTTCCTTCCTTCCTTCCTTCCTTCCTTCCTTCCTTCCCTCCCTCCCTCCTTCCTTTCCTTCCTTCCTTCCTTCCTTCCTTCCTTCCGGAGGATCCGAGTCTGGCAAGCAGGGCCACATTGGAAATGGGAATGGTAGGTAAACACAGGTGGGAGAGGGAGGAGGGCTGGGGAGGATAGGAATTGGAGTCCTCCCCCACCCACCACCCACCACCCAGATTGAAAGAAGGCGAGAAAAGCAAAGCTTCTCTGTCGGGCTTGCTGAAAGGAGGGAATGGCGCCGCCCAAGCCTTCTACTTCCCCGCACCTTTTGCCTAGCCAACCGCAGCGACCTCCTGCGCCCTTGCGGTTCCTCCTCCGGCTGCTGACTTCGCAGGCTCCTCCGACCGGCCATGGCTCGCCCGCCGCCCGCCGAGACCGTTAAGACGAGGCAGCAACGAGCCCGCGAGCGCTCTGCAAAGTCCTCTCCCGCGTCGGGATTCAAGCAGGCACCGCCGCTGACTAACTCTCGCGAGAACGCTCCACCTTTTTTTCCCCCCCACCCCGCCCTGCCTCGCATTGGCCGGTGGGAGATGGAGTTCCGCCCGGAAACGTTGGACAGTGGGCTGGTTTCCATTCCTTAGCATTCCCCGAGAGAGCGCGGGGATTTGGGTCGCAGCAGGGTGGGATCGAGTTTGGGAAGAGGTTGTTCTCCTACATCTGGGATAAGCGGAAAAGGGGCTTTTGAAAGCCCCGGTTGGAGGGGTGGGGGGAAGGAAAGAAAGCTGGCTTGCATCATTTTTTAAATTTTTATTTTATTTATTTGTTTTATTTTGTCAAGCATATATAAGATTACAGATATAAGTATAAACATGATTATGAATTCATGAAATGGATACGAATAAAATTGAACGTTAGGACAAGGATGGTAGACACGCTGGTACGCTTATGCACGCCCCTTAAAGACCTCTTAGGAATGGGGTGAGGTCAACAGTAGACAGTCTAAGGCAGTGGTCCCCAACCTTTTTATCGCCGCGGCCCGCTGAGCGCGCGCAGGGGTGAGGGCACGGCCAGGAGCTTTTGCGCACGGCCCATTGCGCACGGCCCAGGAGCCTTTGCGCTGCAGCGTTCATGTCCCCCGGCCGCTGCACGGCCCGGTGCCAGGTACTCCACGGCCCGGCACCGGTCCGCGGACCGGGGGTTGGGGACCACTGGTCTAAGGCAGTGTTTCTCAACCTTGGTAACTTGAAGATGGGCGGACTTCAACTCCTAGAATCCCCCAGCCAGCATCTTCAAGCTTCCAAGGTTGAGGAACACTGGTCTAAGGTTAAAGTTATGGGGGTTTGGGGAAGAAACCACAAAGTCAGGTAGTGCATTCCAGGCATTGACCACTCTGTTGCTGAAGTCATATTTTCTGCAATGGAGTTTGGAGGGGTTTACCTTAAGTTTGTATCTATTGTGTGCTCATGTATTATTGTGGTTGAAGCTGAAGTAGTCATTGACAGGTAGGACGTTGTAGCATATAATTCTATGTACTACGCTTAGATCAGACCCAAGACGGCGAAGTTCTAAGTTGTCTAAGCCCAAAATTTCAAGTCTGGTGGCATAAGGTATTCTGTTGTGAGTAGAGGACTCTTCTCGTGAAATATCTCTGGACTCGCTCAATTGTATTAATGTCCAATATTAATATCAGACATTAATACTATTAATTGTATTTAATAAGAGGGAAATATAGTATCCAATCATCATGCAGTGACTTCCTCTTCTGTGCAATCTTGAAAAGGTTCAGCGTTCCAGTTGTCTTTTGCAGCTGCCAGATGCATCCTTGTCCAGCTGGACAAATAATTTTGTACAACAGTGAATAAATGGACCCTCTTCTATTGGTTCCAAACATGGCTGTGTATGCTAGCTAGAAATATGGGCATTCCAGTCCAACCTATTATGAAGGCAGCATATTGAGGAAAGCTAGTTGGGAGGCTGGCTTCACACAATATGCTAACTCAAAACAAACTAAACAGTGGCTTAATATGCTGCTTTTGAATCTGGACGACTTGGTAATGGACCAGAAACTATAGAGATCTGGTAACTTATTGTTTATTAACTCAGGTTCTGATCTATTTAGCCCAACATTAAAACAAGCCCTACCAAAGGCAACAGCAATCATTCTACATTTATTTAAGTCAGCAGTGTGCAATCTGAGATGTGACAGAACTTGAAGGCAAGCATTCTTTGATGGAACTCTCCTTCTTTTGAAGGCCTTCCCATCAAATACAGGATCTGCACTCTTGTTTTTAATTTTTAATTTAAAAAAAAAAACAGGACTGTTTTGAAATGGCTGGGGATTGATAATAGAATGAGCAAAGTAATTACTTAGTGAATTATCTTGCTGAGTGAAGATACTCAGTACTATGCTTTTCTCCTTGTAAATAAAGTCTGTATTTTTTGTTTATGATGGTGTATTTATATATTGCTGCTTTTGAGCTAAACCTGGTTAATGCCCGAGTTAAAATCTAGTTAATGAAATGCTTACTAGATAGAAATATTGAATACTGGAGGGGGGGGCACTGAGTAATAACTGGAAAATTTCATGACAATTGTAGATAATTATTCTTCATTAAGTAGTAATGGAAGTGGTTTTTAAAAGGTATTAAATTGTCTAGAGCACCAGTGTGATGAAGTGATTAAGCACCAGGCTCTGCTTTAGGTTGGGTGGCCTTGGGCCAGTTACTCTCTCTCAGCCTTCGGAAATAGGCAGTGGCAAACCACTTCCAAATTTTGTCAAAAAACCTGCAGAGACCTGTCTAGGCAATCACCAGAAGTCAACACTGACTCAAAGAAACACACACAAAACTCACTAGGATTCTATAAACCTTGAATAATAATGATACTAAGATCTGGTGAAGTTATTAAACTAAAAATTACAAAAAGCAGTAAAAGCAAATTAATGTTTTTCTTGGAAAAGCTGTCCTCTCAATATTAAAATATTAGAAAATATTTGCTCTGCACTGAAGCTTCTTGGATGAGAAGCGAAATGTTTTCAAAGAAAAAAAGAAACCCAAGAGAGTCCGATCGCCTTTTGGAGAAAGCACCTTTGGGACATTTCATTGGAGAAGAAAGATACCCATGCTACTTTTTGGTGATGTTATATTTATAAAAGAAATGTGAAAGGTATTTTTGGTTCTCATTCAGAACCTTAGAAATCCACAAAAAAACGAAGCTCAGATACTGTTTCTAAGTGATGTAGCAATATGAAAGACCAACACATGTCAGCAGCAACATTGTCTTTTATTTAAAACAATTTGCTTGGCATTCATTTTATTCTTCGGAAGTGGAGCGTGGACTGCAGGTGAGGAGAATCCCACTAGGGTAGGCCGACCAACTGGGGTACCTCGAGGTACCACGGTCAAGGCTTAAGAGATGCTGCGGCGGCGCCGCCTGATAAAAGGGTTGCCGTGGCAACGAGCAAAACGAACGCCGCTGTCCGGGCAACCGAGTTCCACGCAGTAAAGAGGCAAATCCGAGCGTGTATAGAAGGTTGGAACCCGAGAGCCCGTTGCATTGTGGGAAGCGTAGTTTCTTTCCCTCTGTTTTGTTTCCACAATTCATATAGGCCGTTCGTCGGGAGAGTTCCCGCGCTTTCCTAAACGAGGCTTGCTGAGGCATTATAGTAAATGAGGTGTCGGGGAGTCATTCCGACACCGCCTCCAAGAGAGAGAGAAGAAGAAGGAAAAAAAAAAAAACGAAGAGCGAATGAAAATAATAACAACAACTTATGAACGGCAGCTTTATTAAAAGACACAATGAAAGCCAAGGGATTGTGGGAAGGCGGGCATCTCACGATGGCGCCTGGGACGCGTAGTTTCCATCTTCCCTCCTGCCCCGCCCCCTCCTCCTCCTCACTCCACCCCCCCCCCCTCAGGCTGGAAGAAAACCCCGCGCTTTCCAAAGCCCTTGGCTTTCGCGGTGCCCGTTGGGAAAGAGAGTTCCGGCGTCGCGACGTTCGCCCGCGGTGCTTTGTGGGGCGGGTAGTTCCGTTTCCTGTGGCGCTCTCGCGGAGGGGAGGGGAGTGAGGGAGGGAGGGCAGGCAGGCAGGCTGCTTGTGGCGTCGGCGCCGGAGAAGGAGCTTGCAGCCGCCGCCTTCTTGGACTCGCAAATCGGGAGGCCTTGTGGGATCTGTAGTCCCGCCGCCTCGGGCCCGCCGGGGGAAGGAGGAGGCGGAGGAGGCGGAGGAGGAGGCAGGCACACCGCGCAGACCATGCCCGGGTTCACGTGCTGCGTGCCAGGCTGCTACAACAACTCGCACCGGGACAAGGCGCTCCACTTCTACACCTTCCCGAAGGACGCCGAGCTGCGCCGCCTCTGGCTGAAGAACGTCTCCCGGGCGGGCGTCAGCGGCTGCTTCAGCACTTTCCAGCCCACCACCGGCCACCGCGTCTGCTCCGAGCACTTCCCCGGAGGGCGCAAATCCTACCTGGTGCGCGTCCCCACCATCTTCCCCTTGCGGGGGGTCAACGAGCGCAAAGGGGCCCGCGGGGCCAGGAGAGCCCGGCACGCCCCCGCCGCCCAAGCCGCTGCCCAGGCGGCCGCCCAAGCCGCCGTCGCCGCCCAAGCCGCCGCCGCCGCTCAAGCCGCGGTGCTGCTGACTTTGCAAGAGGGGGCGGCCGCCCAGCCTGGCCAGGGCCTGGTCAGGGCGGCGGGAGGAGGAGGAGGAGGAGGAGGAGGTGTCAGTGGGGGGCCTGGGGGTCTCCCCGGGGAAGATGTCAAGCCTATGGACCTGACGGTGCAGGTGGAACTGGGGGGCCCCGGGGCCATCGTGGGGGCCCCGGTCCACTTGGCTTTCCTAGCTGACAACGGGCCTCTGGTGGACGGTCCCCCGGATCATTCCTACTCGCTGTCCTCGGGCACCACGTCGGAGGAGCTGCTGCGCAAGCTGAACGAGCAACGGGACATCATCGCCCTGCTGGAAGTCAAGATGAAGGAGATGAAGGGCAGCATCCGGCGACTCCGCTTGGCCGAATCCCAGCTGCGGGAAGAGATCAGGGAGAAGGACCGCTTGCTGCATGCCGCCAGCATGGCCGGCGGGGCCCGCAAGCGCCACGGCCTCTGAGGCGCCAAGGCCCTGCCGGGTCCCGAATATGCCTGGACGGGGATCTTGATGGTCAGGTGGGGGGAGGGATCTTGCATCAAAAAGACTTGCAGGGGTGGGAAAGCAGTTGTCAAGACAAATGGTGCTCCAGGCAGTTGCCCAAATGACATTTTTCGCCCCGGTTAGGCAGCTCTGCCCTGCCATGGGGGAGTGACCAGTTTTGAGCCCCTGGTTCTTCTCTGCTTCCGAAGCCCAGGCTTCTTCGTCCGAGCTGGCCCGGATTAAATTCACGGGACTTCAACATGTGTCCTTAACATTTATCCCACTGACAAACTCTTGCTGCGATACTTTTCAAAAGATGGCCTGGGATTCTGGTCAACGGCTTCTTACTCCTTGCATTAAATACTGTTCCGAGCATAGTGGCAAGTTGGTGTAGCTGTTGCGGTACTCTGGGCGATGCTGTCTCGGTTGGAACAAGTCCCTTTTTAGCATTGCCCTCGTGAAGCTAGACTGTTGGCGTCTGCCACCTGCAGCCAAATGTTGTACAAAGCTAATTTTGAGGAAAGAATCAGTTACTTTCTAGACAGGCACACCTGGGTTGTAATCGTTCGTACTGGAGTAAATGAAGACGGCCGGGGCGCAGTGTGTCACAGCGTTGTACCAGGATTATTCTGCGGGAAATGTCATGTTTAAAAAATCACAGCCATCAGTGCATTTATCTTTCCTTTTTATGAAAGGGAGTTGTAGGCATTTCTTCTCCCCTGCTTCCCAAAACCTTTTGATGCAGAGTGTGCCATTTTTATTGTCAAAACGAATCCTTAATATTTAAAAGAGGATATCAGGAGGATGTTAGTTATCTCCATGTTGCTGTTGGGAGTTACTGTTTTGCTTCTATTCCTCTTTCAGCCGACAAAGTTATTGCGGCTTTCCTGACATTTCATGAATCCGTGTCCTTCTGGGCATTTAAACATTGCTTGTTTCAGTTTTCAACAAATGTATTTTTCCCTTGGAAAACCTGTGAGGACAGTAGCTTTCCTTTATATTTTTCTGGGGTATATAGTCTCCTTAGCATAAGAGCAATGAGGTTAACCTCCCAAAATTACTTCTGAATCCACTATATTTCCTCTTGGGGGGAAAAAAACGCCATGCACATAAGATTGCAAAACTGAGCTTAAGAGGAATGGGTGCAGAGTTCAAGTCCTAAGCAGTTTTTTCACTCTGACATTCTCCAGATGCATTAAAACTACAACTCTTATAAAATCTCTAATCATAACATCATGTAGCCCACTAGTGGTTTGTTTGTAGACTGATACTTTATTTGGGGAAGTCAGTGGTTAGCTTATATCTCTGTAAAACTGTTGCCATTTGTTTTAAAAGATGTGTGAGGAGGAAGGACTTAACTTTAGTCATGAAATGATGTTAATTTTTTTGCATCCATCCACTTATGGTAGTAATATATTTCAAATACGTACCATAATACATTGTTTTCTCAGCTCTTTAGGAGATATCAGACTTTTGTTTAAATTAAAAGGAAGGAAAGAGTAAAACATAGGGTGAGGGTGTTTTTTTTCTAAGTTGTCACTTTTTTGCGTCATCTTATTAATAAGCACATTGACTTTTGCATTTCCAGGCTTAAATGTTTATTTTGTTGGAGCTGCTGTGACTTGATGACATTGATGAGGAACAGAATGGCCAGCTGTCCAATTTTTTTTTTAATTGATTACAGTATTTTTTTCCCCAGCATCAATATGAATAGGAACCACAGTCGTATATATTGGTTATATATGTTGTACCCATCCACAATTAAAGTTAATTTTTAAAGCTTGAAAACATACTATGATGAAAGTATATGTTCAACGTGATTATTCTTTCCCCCTATTATACTACATCATAAGATTCACCCAGTTCTTTTGTTCTTCTGCAGTTGGTGTAAATGACTGTATAGGATATGACAGTAGAAATTAGGATTTACCTACATTCAATGGGTTGTACGAACTCTCAGCTGTAGTCATTGAGAACTCTTATCCAGTCCTTTTGAGTAGCGGTTCCAAGAACAATGTCCATTTTGTGCTATTATTTTGGACTTAACTCCAAATTTAGCAGATTTCAGTGCTGCCCTATATTTCTGATACAGAATACCTTTGCTATTTGAGTGTTGCATTTAGGTCAGGTTTGGGCACACCCCTTTATGTTTTGCTCATTCATTTTTTAGGATCTTGGGCAAAACATTGGTTTTCTCTCTCTCTGTAAATAAATGCCTGTGCATTCTAGCTGGCTGAGAGTGTTTTGAAGGTGTGTGTTGTGACCAATGTGGTACTTTTCTACCATCATTATGCACTAAAACATGTTCAGTTGATTGGACTGCTGAACTGGTTATGTTGGACTGTTCTATTTTCCTGGTTATCCTGAGGTGCTAACAAATATGCTTAATTTGAATAAAATCTATTTTGTTTTGTTATGTTGTAGTGTACAGTTTGTCCATGGAGCCTAGAAAATGCTATCCCAGTTTCTTTTCCATGACAATCTCATGCATAGATAATTAAGCCAGTTTAACATGGTTTATTTTAATTTTAATTTAATTTTAATGTAAGTTGCCTGACAGTTCAATATATAAAGTCTGCATTCAAACAATACATTAAGGTACAAATCATGTTTTAGAAAATGAAATTGCTAAATCGAAACTAAGGAAAACTCTTTTGTCTTTTAAGGCATGATGGTTTTTTTTACTAGTTTTGTGAATACAGTTGTGGTTTAAAGTGGTTTAGTTTTTCCCCCCTTGATGTAAATGAAGAAAGCCATGCATTTCACCTGCAAATAGATATGTATTTGGAGATATTAGGAAGAATTTTATTTTTATACTTAAAAAGTAGAGGATCAACTCTTGTTTGATTCAGCAATCTTAAGAGCCATATGATCATACATAAGAATGTATTATTTCTACTTTGAATGAATTACCTCTTCCCACATTCCTTCTAAAAACTGTAACCCATACAAGTGCCCTGTTTCAACATCAGCCTTTTCCTATTATTTTTTTTAGCATCATCCAGCATGCTCATCTTCATGATACGTTAGAATTACAGGCGCTAGAATTCTTTTCCCAGCATGGCAAAGAGGATTTAGAGAATTCTGAGAAATGAAGTACTAATGTACTTCATTTCTCAGAATTCTCTAAATCCTCTTTGCTAATGCAGTTTGAGCACAACAGGCTGACTAAGGTTCAGATTCTAACTGATGAAAAGTTCTGAAGAATACAAAAGTGTCTACTGTGATTTTCTGAAGCTTCAGTAGGATGGTTCGATAGAGATACTCACTGCTGAGACTGTTCACATTCTGTACTTACTTGTTTTACAGACCCTGCATTTCTCAATTGTAATTACTAAACTTACCAACTGCAGTGATTTCACTTAAACACGGAGGCAAGAAAGGTCATAAAATGGGGGGAAACTCATTTAAATGCCTCTTGCTCACACACAGAAATTGGGGGTTCAATTGTGATCGTAAGTCGAAGACTACCTGTAAATTGGTGGAGCCAATTAAACAAATAGCTTGCACGTTGCATTTGCAATCAGGCAGCAAATGCTCTTTTCCCAGATACCTCCTACTACCTTAGTCTAACTCACTTTGAATGTACACTAATCGGCATACATTAAAATGAAATTTCGTTGCATGCCGCTCTTAAAGGCGGCATGCCCCTCCAATATACACTACATAAACATGACAAAATAAATACAAAATTATGCATATGCCCGCATATATGACACTGAGAAACAACAGTCTAGTTCGGATGTACAGATGTACTTGGCGAGAAAAAAACCGAATCTTGCGGGTTTACCAGACGGATGGCATATAAGGGAACAAAAGCTGTTCCAAAATCTGGTACTATTTTGGTCCTTTCTAACCGGGACCTTCTCAGGCTTAGAATGGCTCTGGCCACTTCCAATATATACTACATGAATTGGGTTCCCCTTTCTAATCAGGCTGCCAATAAAACAACCGTGGCTCAGTGGCTAAGACACCGAGCTTGTCCATCAGAAACCTCGGCAGCTCGGTGGGTTCGAATCCCTAGTACAGGCCTCCTGCGGGAGGAGTGGGTTGGGCTAGATGACCTCCAAGGTCCCTTCCAACTCTTGTTACTGTACCCTGCGCTCCCCCCCATCCCTCCTTCGCCCTTTGGGCAACCTAAAGCCACGCGCAGTGCTTGCCGGGAGCTGTAGTGCCCGCGTTTGGTCGGCGGAAGGGCTGAGAAGCCAAAGCGGGCGAAGAAACTCGCTTTCCCAGCAGGCTCGGCAGGGATGGATCCGCGCGCCCGCCAGAGAGGGGGGCGTGGCCGGAAGAGGCGGTGCCCGGCGGGCGAAGCGGCGAGAGAGAGGAGAGAGAGAGAGAGGCACGCACGCACAGTGAGGCTGCGCTCGGGGGGCTTCGGGCTGCGCTCGCCGCCGCCGCCGCCGCCATCGCCATCAGCCTGGTAAGTCATCCCGCAGCGCGGGAGCCCCTGAGGCGCGGGAAAGGAAGGCCCAGCGGGCGGAGGGAGAGCTGCTTTTGCAGAGGCTGAGAGGCCGCGGGCCTCGCGCTTGGCTTGGGCGCTGCCCCCCCCCCCCTCAGGATAGGGAAGGGCGTGTCGTCGGGGCTCCGCAGCCCCTTCGGCCCCTCCCCGCCTCCAGGAATGAGAGCAGCCTGGGGGGGGAGGGGAGGGGAGGGGGAGCGACTCTCCTCCTGACCCCGCCCTCCCCGCTTAAAAGCTGGACGCCCCCCCCGCCCCCACCCCTTTTTACCCCCGCGTGTTGGGAAACGCACGTGTGAAGGGGCAAGTTCGTGCCCCCCCCCAATTCCCGTGGTGGCGGGCGGCCACGTGCTTTTGGGAGGGGGGGAGGGGGGGTTCCTCCCAGGTGCGCGATTTGAAAGTTCCTGGGTTGGGTGGAAATGTTCGTCCTTCCTTCCTTTCTCTTTCTCTTTCTTTCTCTTTTTCTCTTCTTTCTTTCTTTTTTCCACTTTTCCTCTTTCTCTCTCTTTCCCTCTTTCCTCTCTCTTTCTTTCTTTCTATCTTTCTTCCTTCCTTCTTTTCTTTTCTTTCTCCTCTCTCCCTTTCTTTCTTTTTCCTCTCTCTCTCTTTCCCTCTTTCCTCTCTTTCTTTCTATCTTCCTTCCTTCCTTCTTTTCTTTTCTCTTCTTTTCTTTCTCCTCTCCTCTCCCTTTCTTTCTTTCTTTCTTTCTTTTTCCTCTCTCTTTCCCTCTTTCCTCTCTGTTTCTTTCTTTCTATCTTCCTTCCTTCTTTTCTTTTCTTTTCTCTTCTTTTCTTTCTCCTCTCCTCTCCCTTTCTTTCTTTCTTTCTTTTTCCTCTCTCTTTCCCTCTTTCCTCTCTGTTTCTTTCTTTCTATCTTTCTTCCTTCCTTCTTTTCTTTTCTTTCTCCTCTCCTCTCCCTTTCTTTCTTTTTTCCTCTTTTTCTCTTTCTCTTTCCCTCTTTCCTCTCTGTTTCTTTCTTTCTATCTTCCTTCCTTCCTTTCTCTTCTTTTCTTTCTCCTCTCCCTTTCCTTCTTTCCTTCCTTCCTTTTTTTTCTCTTTTCTTTCTCCTCTCCCCCTCTTTTATTTGGCTGCTTTTGAGAATTCGGGCTGGAGCGATGGGACGGAGCGAAAAGTCCCATCCTCTAGTCCTCCCCTCCCCTTCCCTTAAAAACAAAAAGATATGAATAAGAATTATGGTCTTTTTATGGGAATGACTGATGGTAGTTGTGACACGTGGTGTGCGGGTGCCGCGTGTGGTGGATCAGCAAAGGGATTCCTTCTGAGCAAAGGGGATTCCCTTTTTTTTTAAGAAGTAGAATTGTGTGGGGAGGGGTTCCCTTTTTTTTCTTTTCTTTTCAAGTTAAGACTTTTAGACTAACTTTATTGTCACTTTGAATGTACACTAATCGGCATGCATGAAAATGAAGTTTCATGCTTTAAAATGAAGTTTCATGCTTTAAAATGAAATTCCATGCATGAAAATGAAACTTTCGTTTCATACCACCACTTCCAATATACACTACATAAACATGGCTAAATAAATAAATACAAAATTATCCCTACCTATATTATATGACACAGAGAGTTAGGTGTGTGCATCGGTGTGTGTTTTTCAAACTTGGCGACTTTTAAGGTGTCTGGACTTCAACTCCCAGAATTGCCCAAACAGTATGGGAAATTCTGGAAGTTGAAATCCACATCTTTTAAAAGTTGCCAAGTTTGAGAAACTTTGTATATCGGGCTACATCTTATGGGAAGTTTGTTAAGATTTCTCAATTTCGGCCAAACTTTTTCAAATCTTTATTGTCAGTGCACAACATAAAATAAATTACAAATTTTTCCCATTTTATGACTTTTCTTGTCACCGTTGTTACGTGAATCGCTGCAGCTGTTAAGTTAGTAACATGGTTGTTAAGTGAATCTGGCTTCCCCGTTGACTTTGCTTGTCAGAAGGTTGCAAAAAGAAGATCACATGATCCCTGGACACTGCAACTGTCATAAATGTGAGTCAGTTGTCAAACATCTGAATGTGTGAAAAATGATCATGTTACCTTTTTCGGTGCTGTTGTAACTTCACAAAGCGGACTGTTGTAAGTTGAGGACTACCTGTACAGACCTTTGCAATCTGATGCCTTTTGAATGGATTAGTTATAACTCTTAAATTCCCTCTGTAACTATAGTTATTTGGCTGGATGAGGATCTCTGGAGTTGTCACAATAGCACCATAGCAAAAAATGTGCATAGCAAAAAATCCAGGTAGCAAAATTTGGTAATTCTAAGTAGGGCTGCTATATGTACTTCGGATGAATCAATATATAGGTAATCCTTGACTTATGACCACAATTGAGCCCAACACTTCTGTTATTAAGTGAAACATTGGTTAAGTGAGTTTTGCCCCATTTGATTACTTTTCTTGCCACGGTTGTTAAGTGAATCACTGCAGTTGTTAACATGGTTCTTAAGTGAATCTGGCTTCCCTATTGACTTCGCTCATCTGAAGGTCGCAAAAAGGGGATTGCATGACCCCAGGATGCTGCAACCGTCATAAATATGAGACAGTTGCCAAGCGTCCGAATTTTGATCTTGCTGCAAGCGTTGTAAGTGTGAACAAGCATAAATCCCTTTTGTTCAGTGCAGTTGTAACTTCAAATGGTCACTAAATGAACTGTTGTAAATCGAGGATTGCCTGTAGTTTAAGTGCAGGTGAACCAGAAGATGGGCTGGTGCATATTGGAAGGCTGATTATGTTACATTTTTTTTTATTTAAAAGAAAATTAGAACGGAATTGTAAAATCTCTGAATTTGTTCTTCTGTATTCTGATGGGTAATTTTTATAATTAGACTGCCCGTCTCACAAAAAAGTGACTCTGGGCAGCAAACATACATAAAACTCCTCTCCTATTTTTTCCCCAACAACAACCTTCTGAGGTGGGTTGGGCTAGAAAAGGATTGACC